TTTTCAACAGGTTTCTAATATAAGAAATATTATCGGGCAAACTGGCGTCACAAAAGGGATGACAAAGCTTCTCAGCGATGACGTCATTATACAATTGAATTATGATGGGGTGCGTGACAAGGTGCCATTCAAAAAGTTTACATGCCTAAATAACGCCATCTATGGTAAATTTTACTATTGCACTGTTTGTAAATACATATGTACATACGTGAAATTTTTGTTTACTCACTTCCTATATTTTACTTTGCAGAAGCAATACAAAACGAAGGTTATACGAGGGGAGATTATGAGCGTGACCTCAAAAGAGCTTTTAAAATGGCGAAAAATCGATACCATAAGGCGAGTTTTTTAAAGAAACAAAGAACTATTCAAGAAACTTTAAATATAGCAAACCAATGTCAACAAGAAAATGACAGTATTGATCAAATTACTGGGGATTAAGNGGTAAAGATTTGTATGTAAGTATCGTAAGTTCGTACCAAAAAATAAATTTATTATTATCAATTAACCTCCGGTTTAACGAAAGCAATTTAAGCGAAAAATTATTTTTTTTCTGTCAGTTTCCATAGTAAATTGGAATAAGAAAAAAAAATTTCACTTAAATTGCTTTCGTGAGACTGCCCATAAGTATTTTTCAACAGGTTTCTAATATAAGAAATATTATCGGGCAAACTGGCGTCACAAAAGGGATGACAAAGCTTCTCAGCGATGACGTCATTATACAATTGAATTATGATGGGGTGCGTGACAAGGTGCCATTCAAAAAGTTTACATGCCTAAATAACGCCATCTATGGTAAATTTTACTATTGCACTGTTTGTAAATACATATGTACATACGTGAAATTTTTGTTTACTCACTTCCTATATTTTACTTTGCAGAAGCAATACAAAACGAAGGTTATACGAGGGGAGATTATGAGCGTGACCTCAAAAGAGCTTTTAAAATGGCGAAAAATCGATACCATAAGGCGAGTTTTTTAAAGAAACAAAGAACTATTCAAGAAACTTTAAATATAGCAAACCAATGTCAACAAGAAAATGACAGTATTGATCAAATTACTGGGGATTAAGCCAGTATCGATGTCATGTGTATCTCGTAGTTTCAATTAATTTCTTCTACGCGTTGTATTTTCTAATTAGTAATGAATATAAAAATAAAATAAATAAAAAAATAATAATTAAAAAATAAATATTGTTTGTATTTACTCGTAATGTCGAATTTACATTGACAGCTCTGTCCGTTCTCCTAAAGTGAAGTATGTAAAAATTTCGGCACCCATATTGCTTCGATCTTCGTCAGAATAACAGTTACCCATATATGTTGCCGCAAAAAGTAGTAATCGTGATCGCATTTTACTACAGACTGACGTAGATTGGTGATTTTTTAGGCCAGATATATTAGGAGGCAAATACATACCTATGATAAATATTATCCGGTTTTAAGAAAAATTGGTTTTTATATTGGTGTTTCTATGGGTGATAGGCGTAGCAGTGGCCCGATTGTGACCATCTTTAAAAGTTAAATTTCTCTAGTCAAAACTAAGCGACACACTGAATTTCATTAAACCTTTACTAGAAAGTGTGTTAATGTCATCGAAAATATTACTAACCATTCAAACCTATTTACATATCGCACGTACATATATTTAATAATATAGAGATGTAACTCAAAATATACGTTTTTGGANACTCGTAATGTCGAATTTACATTGACAGCTCTGTCCGTTCTCCTAAAGTGAAGTATGTAAAAATTTCGGCAACCATATTGCTTCGATCTTCGACAGAATAACAGTTTCCCATATATGTTGCCGCAAAAAGTAGTAATCGTGATCGCATTTTACTACAGACTGACGTAGATTGGTGATTTTTTAGACCAGATATATTAGGAGGCAAATACATACCTATGATAAATATTATCCGGTTTTAAGAAAAATTGGTTTTTAGATTGGTGTTTCTATGGGTGATAGGCGTAGCAGTGGCCCGATTGTGACCATCTTTAAAAGTTAAATTTCTCTAGTCAAAACTAAGCTACACACTGAATTTCATTAAACCTTTACTAGAAAGTGTGTTAATGTCATCGAAAATATTACTAACCATTCAAACCTATTTTCATATCGCACGTACATACATATATTTAATAATATAGAGATGTAACTCAAAATATACGTTTTTGGAGATTTCGTTATGCAATTAATAAGCTTGATAAGGGGAATATGTTCAGTCTAACAGATAATTAAACTTTCCAAATATGGCAAAGATATGTTTCTTTCCATCTGTCTTTTTCTATACCAACGGTATGAGTTGATAAAACTTTGATTGCGTTTTCCCACAAAATTTAAATTTTGCAATGCTTCGTTATATGATTAAACGTGCGATCTATAAGAATTTCAAGCAAATACTTCCACCAACAAATATTTCATGTATAAATATTAAATTCCATTCGATATAATGTAGTTTATTACGCGCTGAATTGTGGCATGTCCTGCGATCATTTGCGCCTGCAATAAGGACACAAGAAATTAGAGTTTTTTGTCTCTGAACTTGTAAATAGTATATATAAATGTATTTTATGTATGTATTTCAAATATGCATATGCCTTAAACAGGGCCGAAAATTTTAAGTTTTTGCTTGGAATTCCTGATTTTGCTTATTCAAGATTTGTAAGCTTAATTTAATATATTTTGCTTATTTTTATGTACGAAGCTAAGCACGAATCTCTTAAGAAAACGGTAAAAAATGCCCATTATTTCGTGCGCGGAATAGTGGTGTTCCTGGAATTTTGACATCTGATACTTCACAGCCTGCTTTTTAACTCTTAACCCTTCGTCGGGCGCAATGTACCTAACTGGCACACTTTTAAAAACACATACTAAACANTAATATAATATATTTTGCTTATTTTAATCTACGCAGCTAAGCACGAATCTCTTAAGAAAACGGTAAAAAAATTCCCATTATTTCGTGTGCGTGAATAGTGGTGTTCCTGGAATTTGACATCTGATACTTCACAGCCTGCTTTTTAACTCTTAACCCTTCGTCAGGCGCAATATGGTGACTGTCAATTTCGGGCGCAATGTACCTAACTGGCACACTTTTAAAAACACATACTAAACAAACAATTATATTGTTTATACATCTGGGGAATACGGGCACGTCATTTAGGAATGTTGAAAAGAAATAAATGTAAACATTTTCGTAAAAATCCATTTATTTGACACAAATTTAGCAGCTACTAGAAACATCTGAAAATAAAGTTAAAAAATCAAAAGGTTAAACATACAACGTAAAATAGATTTGAAAAAATGCAAACATTTCATACAGATTCAACTCTGGGACATGTACATAATAGCTACTTTTAGATGAATAATAAAATTTAAAAAAATAATTCTAAAAATAATTAATTTAAAACATTTGACGAGTTTGGCCGCACTGAGCTTCTCAGATCAAATTCTGCATAACTTCTCGTTCTGGAAGTAAATAAAAAACTGAGTGGTTTTGCTGTATAGAGCACTTCAAAAGAGGCAGCTACTGAGCGTCAGCAAAGTTAACGGTATAAAAGGGCACGGCGAAGTAAAAAAATGTGCTGGCTATGCCTCACAGATCAGTTGCATCCGTCGAAGGGTTAATTAACGAAATAATAGAACGGGCATATATTTCTGTTAAAAACATGGGTTGCCTTGTGACGTTTTTTCACAAAATCTTTAGAAAAGCTTAGAAAACTTGTTAAGAAGTCCGCACTTTTTAAGCAAATTTGGATAATTATAATATAATATTATTATTTTTAATAATTAATAATTATATATTATAATTATAAAATAACTCAAATTTGACAACTAATTAGCCTAGATTTGACTGTGTAAACGGGGTGATTAACAAAAGAGTTTTGATTGGGATTATATTTATGTATATGTGAACGTACTTTTACCGATAGGTGAAAACCGATTTTTAATACTTGTGCTTGCTATATAATGTACGGATTCACCCCAACTTGTACTTCCTTACTTGTTAATTTTGGTTTTATTTATTCCAGAAAATTTCGGAAGCCTCGAAAGATATCGAAAAATAAAACTTGAAGTATCGCCAACAGTATTCAAAATTTAAAAAAACGTTTCCGAAAGATTTGAAGTATCGCCAACAGTAGCGAAAAATCACCAAAATATCCCAAATATCCAAAAATTCCGAAAGTTTCCGGAAAAATTTGGAAAAGTTCCGAAATAATTCCGCAAGATCCCGAAATATAAAACTTTTAAGTATCCCAAACAGTAACGAAAAATCCCAAAAGGTGCCTAAAGATGCGGAAAAGTAAAATACAAAGAAAAATTGTGAACGGCGACGAAAAAATTCGGAAAAATCTTGAAAAGTTTCAAAATAAACGAGAAATCGCGTCAGTGCAAAAAATATACATAAACCATAACTTACCGGTTATTTCGCGCTCAGAAAAAATATTGCTCAAACATTGCCTTTTTGAAAAGCAAAGGTGAACGCTATTTCTTGCTTAAAATAATAAATACGGGCGGGTGTTCACGATTTGTAGCATTTTAAGTGTAAAGTTGATACTTAGCAATCTAGCACACGTTGTTGCTTTTCCAACAGCAAAACGCTTGCTAGATTGCTATGTAGCAACCTTACACCTAACTACCCTACCCTACAACAAAATAGGATTTTTATGGTATTTTCGAAAAAAGTGAACGACAATTTTTTTCACTACGCTCTTTTAATTGTAACATCTGCAAATAACTAATATTCTTTACATTCTCTGGTGAATGAGTTTAGTTATCAAGTTGAAAGTGATGCTTTTTTAAAAATTCAGATTTATTTTTGTTTAAATTTTTATTTAGAATTTCATGCCACCTTTTTGTGCCACTTTAAAGTTTTGCAATTGAATCAAAAGTTTGTATTAGGTTAAGTTAAAAGTTAAAGTGAGAATGAGCTTTTAAAATTATTGTGAAATTTTAGGCTAGATAAAATTATTAATTCATACATGTATCCTTATTTCAGCGCTTGAAAAAATAAATGAAAAGGATATTTGTAGAGGAGCCACATTAGAGGAAATAAAAAGTAAGTGTATAACACAGATACATACATACATATGTACATGTATGTGACAGGGAAAGTTAAGAGGGGACATACGGTTCGAAAAGTAACTTTGAGAAAAAGGTTTTTTAGTTAACAGGTGAATAAAAAAAGATTTGTTCTATCCGTAGCACGGCAAAATCATAAACAGGTGAACCATAAAAGCAGCTGTCTCGCTTTATTTTCTTGACATTCGGCTATCTTATAGACATTTTTAAAGCCACATTTTCAAATAAGATAGTGTCAAATCTTTATTCTCGCTCTTATTACTACACTGCTGTTATAATTTCATAATGAATCCGTAGGTCCATATAAACTTTCCCTGTCACATATATGAACAAAGATATTTAAATTAATTTAAAATTTTACAGAAATCTTACGGGAGGAAACTCGAACGATCATTGGTAAATGGCCGAATTCAGTTAATTTGTATTGAAATTGGAATAATTAGACCATTTAAATTTGTTTCAGCAAATATGCGTAAAGAAAATAAGGCGCTTGCGGGTAATTTGCTTTGCTAAACATGAAATCTTTTTATTTTTTGTATTAATGTGTATCATTTACTTTCAGACTGCTTTCGGATGCATAACGATAGTCTATGTGGTACAGATCTTACTTGCTACTACTTACCTACCCTTGTGGTCAGCTGATTAAGTCCAGTGACATTTTGACTAGTTTATCTTTTGTTTATTTAATGTTTATATTGTTTTTATAAAAGTCTAGCACTTCACCTAACCAGCGCCACATTAATCAACATTTCAAACTTCGTACACAAATTATGAAAATTCAACAAACTTTAACATTTGCACCCGAAAATTTCAAACTTTTTATTTCGAATTTTACGGGTATGCAGTTTTGTAGCTCATTAAATTTCTGTAGGTTAAAGTGCAAATTTCAACACGCTAGAAAATCGCGTTGATTTTTAATAATTTTATTGACTGACGGTGTTGTGTATGCTCGACAATTTCGTTTGTATGGGAGAATGTGCCTAGCACCATAAGCAAAAAAAAAATTATTAAAAATCAACGCGATTTTCTCAGCGGCTTGAAATGTGCAACTGCATTCCCAACATTTTTCCAAAAATTCTAAATAAAAAGTTTAAAATATTTGAGTGCAAATGTTGAAGTTTGTTAAATTTTTGTACGAGGCTTGAAATGTGGATTTATGTGGCGCTAGTTAGGTAAAGTGCTAAACTTTTATTAAAAAAAATATAAACATTAAATAGCCAAAACTAGTCAAAAGGGTACTTGACTTAATCAGCTGACCACAAGTGTACACATGAATGATATGTATTAATGGCGTTTCCTTTCTAGTGCAAATGCAAGCATTACAAAAAGAAACTGTTGAACAACCAGGTAATTTTAAAGGTGATCCGCCTGATGGCCTTGATCCTGAGGAAACCGAAATACTCGACTTCCCCACCAGAAACATAGAGGTGCTAAAGTCCATGGATGCTGATATAAATGAGGACAGAAGAGGCATCTTTGTATCACACAAATACACTATTGAACAACCAGATAATTTTAAAAGTGACCCCCCTGATCCCCTTGAAGTGCTCGACCTGTTCCCTAACAGAAACATCCAGGTGTCAAAGTCTATGGATGCTGATATAAATGAGGAGAACAGAGGTATCTATGTATCACAAAAATGCACTGTTGAACAACCATATAATTTTAAAAGTGATCAACCTCATCCCCTTGATCGTGATGAAACCGAAGTACTCGACCTGTTCCCCATCAGAAACATAGATGGGCTAAAGTCTATGGATGCTAATATATATGAGGACAACAGAGGCATCTATGTAAGATTCTTGCTGAATATTTTCCATTGGTTTTATAAACGACATACATAAGTACATATACTTATTATAGATTAACGCACTGAAATATTTGATTCAATCGGGTGGTATAATAAAACAATTGAGAGTTATCTTATCTGACGAAGTCATCATAGCAACTAACGTTGACGGTAAAATTGGAAAAATTGGGTTGAAAACATTTTACATGTTCTATAGTGCGCTTATAGGTATTTTGCATTTGTAGTATATTCAACATTTACGAATTTCTTAATGGATTTTTTTGTTTGTTTTCAGATGCAATAGCAGCGACTGAGGTTAATGACCCGCCTGAAACACAGCTGCGCAAGGCAGTATTTTTGCATAAAAAACGGGTTTTTAACCGAGCCAAAAGGCATAGAAGAAAATTACTTAAGTGTTGAAAATACGAATTGCTTTATTTACTATCAGTCAAGTATTTAAATTATTTTATATCAATTACCTGACTTAGTTACAATTAAGTTTGTTTTTTATATTTACATAAATAAATAAAAATATGTAAATGCGAAATTTTGATGTTGTATAACATTGTGGTAAATATTTTGTTTGTGTTTGAAGCTACATACTTATCAGGTATGTTGCGGATGTCACATATTTCACATTCACGAATGCGAAAGCGAATTTTCGGAATGGGCGTGCATATTGCGGATGTTTAGGAATACCATTAAAAAGAATGCAACCAACTGTTGGAAAATTAACAAGCAAGGACAGTTTTCATACCTTTCATAAACATCAAACAATTTTACTCCAACCGATTTTAAATTATTTGTTAAGGAGCTAATCAAAATTTTTACCTTCACTCCATATGTATGTACATATGTAGATAGAGGAGGGCTATAAAAAACCCATATCTGCACAACCAGTAGTATGGAAGATAAACCTTATAAAGCACCGATGTGAATTATTTTCAGTACTGTGTATGATTTATATGTAAACCCAATCAAATGGTTTTATCTGTCAGCATAAAGGAGTTATATCCCGAAAACTTGTATCTGATCAATCAGTGGTATAGAAAATATAGATAGATAGATTGATGATTTTCTCAGTAGACTTTGCATGTTTATTTGGAAAATAGCTTACGAAATTGCTCGGTTTTAGCAATCCAAATGAAGGACTTTTAAAGATAAAGTCTTAATGTAATAAACAAAGTGAAATCAATATATGACGTACGCTTATTTGAAAATTTAAATGTAAACAATTCATATATTGGACTACATTAACCCTATTCTGGCTTTTGTTCATGTATGGCACGATGAGCTACATAATCTCGAAAGTGTACAAAACACATACGCTGTGGATGTATGTATTTATACGAATGCATTATGGTTTAGCGAATTAAAACACGACTTCTTCACTTGCTAGGCCACTTCGTCTTTAAAGATAACAATTTCATTGCCCTTAAAATACAGGAGTCTGCTGGCGTTGGCAGGAGAAGACCAAATGAAGTTTGGCTTGACTTCATTTTGTATTTCTATTTTGCTCTAGCTAATATATATGTTATTTTTTTTTAATTCACATTTATAGCAATCTGCAATCTGTATTGTGCATTAAGCAATATTTAAAACTTATAAGTAGATAAAAATAACCATGTATATTCTATTCGCAGGTGTTAAATATTAGTAGAGATCTAATATTGACTTCCTTTTAAGTCGCTATAATGATACTGTATGGGAAATGAGTGTAGAAATAAGAGGATTTGTGTGATAATGAATTTTTGTTGGTGCGCGAAGGCGAAGTTTTTTATTTCAGAAGCACCAATAGGGATCACGGTCACACGGTGTATTTGGTTGTTTGTGACATAAAACGGAGCGTTCGCAATCATTTTAAGATTTTGTAATAAGAAACTTCGGAGTATCTATTTCTACATTGGAGAGGTCTGCAGAGCCCCATCATTGTATTCCATAAGAATAAGAGTTTATCTTAGAGTGAGACTTTAGATTTTGTGTTCAGTAACCAGTGATATGAAAAACAAAATGACTGCCGCGCTTTAAGGGATTTGCCCAAACTCGCTTAGGCCGAGGCCACGCAATGAGCGGCGAGCAGCTGAGCGGCCTAATACTAAAACATATGAAATACTATTGAAGTGGCCACGCAATAAGCGGCATTTCTGAGCGGCTGAGCGGCGCCATACAGAAATGATCGCCGCTGTGCCGCTCATTGCGTGGTCTCGACCTTAGGCGGTTACTGAGCCAATCAGGAAACATAATAGTTAAATATATACGAAAATATTGCGAAATGACGGATGAAAGTTGAGTTGGTGTTACTGGCATTTGTATAATTTATTTCACTTGATTGAAGTGCATCATCCTTTGGCACAATAAACGCACCTTCCTCGTTTTGCCACGCTTTTATTTGTGGGTAGTTCTGCATAACAGCAAGTTATGCAATTTTTTTTGCTGCTCTTTATTTTCTAAAACAATTTATTTTTGGAATTGTAATAAAAAAAATTTAAATTTGAAATATGTTTATAATATTGCTACTGGCAAATGGGTTAATGAAATGACAAAAGTGTTGTTAAATAAGGGTATCGAAAGTAAATATGTCATATATTGATTTCACTTTGTTTTACACTATGGTAAAAGTATGTTCAAGCAGGCCGATAGTCGAGCAATTAGCCAAGCATTCTCGATTTAGGCGCTAACTGAGCTCGATTTACCATACAAAATTTCAATTCTTTATTGTTCGATTAGGTCTTAATTGAATGCTAATTGAAAGAATTTTTTCACGCAACCCTGCTGGGTATGTTTAANACAATTAGCCAAGCATTCTCGATTTAGGCGCTAACTGAGCTCGATTTACCATACAAAATTTCAATTCTTTATTTTTCGATTAGGTCTTAATTGAATGCTAATTGAAAGAATTTTTTCACGCAACCCTGCTGGGTATGTTTAATTTTGATCTTGAGTTATGTTTATTAAACAAAAGCAATTAGCTAGAGTTGGACACTTTAGTTCTTTTGAGTGAACCGTTCAATTGTAGTGATCTACAGTTAACCCTGGTTAAGTACCACTCCGCTTAAGTGCCAACCCCACTTATCTACCTGTATTTTACTGCATCTCAAATCTTTTTCTAAACATACATAGAAATTCGTATCTTAAATACCACACGCTTAAATACCACAAATTTTTGTGCTTCATTCTTACAAATTTCCCCTCTTATGTACCACCGCAAAAACTTTTATGTAATTTGCATATATTTGCATATACATATGTATATCTGTACCTGAATTAATCAAAATTTAATTTAAAAATATGTAATCACATATTGCTTTGCATATAACTAATGCATAATTTTCTGTTTTATGGTTTTGTTTTTCATTAACATTTAACTTTATTAAAGAATTGGNACTACATATGTATATCTGTACCTGAATTAGTCAAAATTCAATTTAAAAATATGTAATCACATATTGCTTTGCATATAACTAATGCATAATTTTCTGTTTTATGGTTTTGTTTTTCATTAACATTTAACTTTATTAAAGAATTGGACAACATTTTTGTTTTTAACCATTACAATTTTATTGAAAAACGTATAAATTTTCATCTTTTTAAAGTAAGTAAGTACCATGTGGTAATTAAGCGGAATTCTTTTAAGTGCAATTCCCGCTTAAATACCACAAAAAATGTACATCTTTGGTTGTGGCACTTAACAGGGCTTGACTGTAGTTCTTTAGGTCATTTAGTTAAATTTAAGGATACCTTTGTTTTATTTTAAACGAAGTTCAACTATTTTTATTATCATATTCAGCCTCATTGCGTAAGCCGTAAATTAGGCTAAATTGTACAACTCGACAATATTGGCATTGTCTACTTTCGTGCAGAGATAAGTAAACGACCAAAAGCGTCGAAAACTATACAGTGCTACCAAGTTTTTCCGTGTTAATACACTAGTCGAGTGGGAATTTTAGGCAATGACGTGAAATTTTCGATACGATTCGTCTCTCGAAAAACGACTTGCATTCGATACGACTCTCGCAATGATTACCAGGGAACGGATTACCAGGGAACGGATTTTAAGGAAATTGCCTTTTTTTCTGCTAAAGAGATAGAGTATATTCGATTAAGAATGTCCACGATTTAGCTTTCCCTAATTCCATATATACATACACATTTGATGTTGCCTTTTTTTGCCTTTTCTACCTTTAAAAAAGTGATTATAGCATTTAAAATTTTTTTAAGACTAAAAAATATACAAATTGCCCATGCGGCTTATAGAGCGCAGATACCTCTTGCCAAATTGGTGTTGGAAAAATTCAAAGCCGTTTTCTCAGCTAACGAAGGCTTGGTGACAATAAGGGGTGTGGATAAAATTGTAAAGGGCGAGGAAAACGCCCTTATTCCTGATAATATGAACGTTTCAAACGTTCCATA